CAACAATTCAGATATTTCCATTTGGGGAATCGTTCGGTATCGCCGATATCGAGTCTCACTCAAAACCTCGATCACGCTTCGCCACTGCCTGCCGCCGCCGCCGCCGCCGCCGCCGCCGCCGCCGCCGCTTCTTCCATCCCTGTACCTCCGTCTGATTCCTCCTCTCCCCTCTTTGACTCACGGCTCACGTCCATCTCGTCGCCGAATCCGATCGCCTTACCCCCCGGCCAACAGACCTTGCACCTTCATTTGCATCATCATCAGCAACCGACGGACGACTTCCGCATTTCCGGCGTCACGTTCTCCTCGGTTCCTCATCCCACCGCCAATCACTCGTTGCAGCTCCATCATCACGCGCAACATCAGCATCATCCGTATCATCGACACAATCACCAGCCTGCCTTCTATTGTTTACCATCGACCGTATCCGCCTCGTCCATGGCGTCTTCCTCGTCGTCATCTTACACCGTGATAGCACCCTCGAGATGCGCCACGTTCAATGGCACCACCGGAATGGCCACCACCGACGGATCTTATCGATTCTACCAAGTACACTTGGGACACACGCTTCTCACCGCACCACCTTCGTCCGACGTTCAGTCGGCGCAAACGTCGTTTTTGTCATCCGCAGCCTCGTCCGCCTCCATCTCGGTACCATCGAACTCCGCCTCGTTCTCTCCTTCGCTGCCATCGTCATCCTCTTCTCTGCCGTCCACCTTCCCTTCTCTGCCAACTGTCACCCCTCAACCTTCCGTTCCAACGCCTCAGCAGAACCCCACCGCCAACTTTCTTCTCCCGAATCACATGTCACCGGACACTATGCATCGCAGCAGTGCCAACTTCGACGCCGTGTGTCGCGCAGCGTCAACAACTGTCCAGCCTGTTCTTTCTAACAACGTTGTGTCTTCTACGCCGTCCACCGTCACCGTTTTCTCTTCCCCCGTTTCCTGCGCTCTCTCGTCGTCTTCCTCCTCTTCCACCTCGGTCTCGTCCTCCTCTTCCTCCTCTTCATCTTCTTCCTCGTCTTGTTCCTTCTCCTCGTCGTCGTCCTCCTCGTCCTCGTCCTGTTCCTCTTCATCTTCCCTGCAAATCCCCTGCTCCCCTTCCAAGCTACACCAGCAACAGATAATTGGCAACTACACGACCATGGAACGGGGAGTCCCCGAAGGAGCGGCCAGCGCACCCTCCCACGACGTGTCGCAGTCCGGAATTTTGCTTACGACGAATTCCTACGTCGCGCATAATTCGAACGGCGTACAAGCTTTACCAGCGCACGCGCAAAATTCCGTATATTACGCCATGAACGTTTAAATCCGTTTTCAGCCTGATGTACTTGATGTACTACACACACACACACACACACACACACACACACACACACACACACACAC